TCCAAGTCATGAATCTGTTAGTAACAGATAAGAGCTTACAATGGTAGAAAGCTCTTTTGTAAGTTGTGATTTTTTTGAACTTTTGTCTCTACTGCTACTAATACTACCATTATTATTCTGCTTGTTTTTTTTTTTTTTTTGGTATGTCAGTGTTTGGATGTGTACAAAACTTAAAAAATGAGCAATGATCATTGAAACAAGCTAAGGGCATATAAACCAAAAGTAGCCTTGAATCTAGTGGTTTTCAATATATCTTGTAGAGCATCTTTCTCCAAAAAGTTATAACAAAAATATGTCATTAACGGCAAAGTAAGATGTTAAAATCAAAAAAAGTGTAAATCAAAATGTATTACTAAAGAAAAAGAACATAAACCATATAAAAATGAAAATATAGAGTATAATTACTGTTACTTTATACCCCCCTTAAATTTGTCTGAGTTTTTCATCTAGAAACTTAATTAAAGCCTATGACCTATTGATCACCTGACCTATAATCAAACTGTGTCAACTAAACATAAGACGTTTACATGGCAGATGACTTGTTTCTCACTAAAAATTGAGCTACAACAAACACTTTTGTCAAAAACATAAACTGGAAAAATGAAGAGAAATAGGACTTATTTAACCATTTGAACATTAGGAAACCTTGGGCAAAATATTTTACAATCTCAGAAAATATAAAAGATCAATGAAGTAGTGATTACAAATACTAGTAGATTCCATGGATAATAAGAAGATAATGAAGAGTGGACCTTTTAGATCAATAGAGAGAGAGAGAGAGAGAGAGAGAGAGAGAGAGAGAGAGAGAGAGAGAGAGAGAAGAGAGAGACGAGAGAGAGAGAGCAGGAGGAGAGAAGAGAGAAGAGAGAGAGGAGAGAGAGACGAGAAAGAAATTAACATCACTGGTCTTTTTATTATTTAATATAAAATAAAAGCATTTTTGTTTGTTAGTATGAAACGAGCAATTCAATAATAATTCAGTCCTATTTGGCCTTTTTCACTTTTCTGTCTCCCATAGAAATCCAGAAAGATCAATGACATTTAAGAAACACTCTGACCTGATCAATCAAGCTTCAAGAGCAAATTTTAAGTGTGAATTTTGGATTCATAAATGATGAGTTTTGAAGCATTTTATCATTTCTTGAGATCTATACTTATACTATATTCGCAGCCATCACCCCAAAGAAATGCTACATGTCCAATTGCCTGGCACGGCATCCACAAAAATAGAAATTTCCACATCGCTTTTAAACATTTTCTAGCATATATCTACTCTCTTATTTTTATTCTTTTGTTTTTGCTCCTTGTTTACATCATCTTCGACAATTTATTAGACGTTTGGAAGTGTTATCATTCTTCCGAAAGAAACCTGAAGCTAATAACATTAAGCTATCCATAAATTGTTAGCGATGAATCCCTGCAGTACAATAGCGAGCAGCTATATTTACAGCCAAATTATATATTACTAACAATATCGACTATCAATTATCACATCGAATTATTACCGACACAAATATGGATCTAGATTAATTTCTCAGTGCAAATATCAATTGGTTAAATACAACTGTCTAGTTTTTTAAATTGATCGAGTGGCAAGAAACAGATGCCCAAAATTCTTTGAAAGAATACCAAAAAGACTAAAATACCGAAGAAGAAACAGTTTCACTTCCTCTACCCTAAATGCTTGGATAAAGCAACACAAAATTCATAATTAAAAACTGAAATTGAGTAAGAGAAGCTGTAAACTATCGCATTCAAGACAACTATTTCTACAGGCAAAAAGTAACACATACTAAAAACGAACAAATTGAAGAGTCGTCGGAGAGCATGTTGTGGAGGAAGAGGCGAAAACCTGGAATTTTAAAAGTTGGGAGGAACCTACCTTGCAAAGGGACAAGTATGGAGAAGGAGCCAAAGAATTAGGAAGAAAAAAATTTTTGTGGGAAGCATAGTTATCTATTAGGGATGTTTCTTTGCCTAAGAGAAATTTTTATGGGTATAGTTTCGTATAGCTGTTATCCGATTAGGGCTTTTTGCCTTTGAAAAAATTCGGGGCTTGTGTGTTTTATCGGGAAAAGGAGGAAAACTTTTGCATATAATTTATTTTCTCATTTTGATCCCTTCACCCGATACACATGACCCAAGATGCCAACAGGAATTCTAACAGAATTCACATTTTGAGACCTTTCATTAATTCTTCTTCTCTCAAGGTCTGAAGCGCTATCCTCCAGTGTGCTGCTCATGATATTCCTGACTCCGGGAGTAACTAACCACGAATGTCATCAATAATTACAATGATGCACGCAGTCAAGATAAGGGTCGGAATGCACTATGATCAAATGCAAAATGCTGCTGGGGCGTTCCGTCATCCAAATGGACATAAAAAAACAAGGGAACTCGTAATGACACATACCGAGTCATGAAAGTAGTATTAGGGATATCTGGCTTCGAATCTTCCACAATGATGATAACTGACGCAAGTCAATCTTGGAAAACACTGGGGACCCTTGTAACTAATCAAATAGGTCATCGATACGAGGCAAATGAATCCAGTTCTTCACTGCTAACTTTGTTCAACTGGCGATAATAATGACATTCGCATAGAACATCTTTGTTCTTGAATCACGCCCAACACTGCGTTAGAAAGACTCTGCCGGACGTGTGCGATATAACCCGAGTATTACGCCCAGGGTCGAATCCACGAGGTTAACCTATTCAACCACTATCCTTCAGACCCACCTATTCTTCAGAACCAGCTTCCTTTCCCAAATATTTCAAATCTCAGTTGAATGTTCTTTACAACTACTGGCTTGCAAGTAACTAAATAGCTGTAAAAACCTACAACTATAAAGTTTGTAAGACAATTATGATTAAAAGCTAAGGCAATGATTTTTCCGCCTATTTGATGGAATCCCTTCTGTTTATGCTCATCACAAATTTACCAACACCTGCTCCTAATCATCATGACGCTAATTTACCGTAAAATCTCTCCGAGTCAATCACAGTAATTTACTATTGCACTCTCCGAGATACACTAGCTTACTTTATTTAGCACGATTTACTTTAGATTACACCAAGGCTCGTTATCCCTAATCCGCCTTTAAACCGAATTATAAGATTCCTCTAATAATCTAGGAGTGGTGTTGTTCAACAATACCCTAAAATATGCACTCTTTTCCATTTATTGCACACTAATAGGCACAAGCTAATTGAGGATCCTGTCAATTAACTACAACAACACGAAGTTGAACAAATACTAGATTAAACTAGCAATTTGTATTCACATAAATCAAGAGTTTTCATCACCATAGGTTCCATCAAAACCTTAGACAAGGAAATTTAGCTACTCCATGGCTATGGGAAAGAAAACTAGATTGAATTCATCATAAAATCAAAAGTAAAGAAGAAAGATGTTTTGAGTATTCTCTCACAATGTTTTTCCTTGCTAGAACTAAAATTAAGTACATGCTCTCTTGGCCGAAGTCTAATGTTTTAATAAGGGTTTAGGTCTAGAAAATCCCGTGTTTTTTTACACTTTAGTCCCTGAGTTTCTGCTTTCCGCGATAAAGAAACTAAGACCACAAATAGAAAATAATTATGTATAAACTGTCATATAGATATAAACTGAGATGGGAAAATATGTTGGTTGACAAAAGTTATCTCAAATCGATATGGAAAACCAGCTTTTAATATTTAATTTAGCAGTCCAAATAGTTTCCTATATGATCAGGTACCTTTACTACTAACATAAACAGTCATTATTTTGATCGTCGGAGTATCATTTCAATTGGCTGAGTATAAAAGGCTTTATATGGAGATATAATTAGTAAAATTGTATGACATTTCTAATTTAGTCTGTCCATATCATTTCTTTGATCTTAATCATTGATTCAATTTTATATACTTGAACTCTCTTCTCTTGAATTTGGTCTGTAGGCTGAAATGGAAAAGATACAATCAACATAACAAAGTGAAGATGTCGGTCAATCAGTTGATGCATTTGCATCAGTCATAGGACTCGAGCATCCACGCCGCGTAAGATTGTATGGATGTGGGGTTTCCAAGACCGCCTTAAAAAAGTGGGAGATATTAGACCCTCTTTAAATTCTACTGATGAGATGATGTAGCAAAAAATAGAAGAAATAGAATATAGAATTCATCAAAGAATGCAGGAAAAGTTCAATGCACAAAAGGATGCTATGGAAAGAGAATTACAATTAACGTCGTCGCACAACTTCAGCATCTTAACCCAGGATTACGGATTGATACTAACATGTTCGCTTTCAGTGCTCGTTCACCTGGATAAACTTACTCTACACAACAAGCTGCTATTAAACTAATCAATCTTCTATCTACTGGTAGTAACGATCTGGTTAGTAATTACTCAAAATGTTAAACCTCTTCTTCTCTTTCTTATTCTCTTTCTTCTTCTTCTCCGTCATTCTGCTATTTCTTCTACCACTGCACTTTATCTGTGTTCATAAATGTTTTAGTTCTTGTTCTCTCTCTCTCTCGTGCAATTGAGTGGTCTCGCTTCATGCACACACCTAGCTGTGTGGTTTTCACAGATAATCTTGATCTTTTCTTCACTTTGCCTTGATAGTCTTGTCATTATAGTTCTTTTACCATTTCTCTTTTGGATTTTTGTTGATGTATAGTTATTTGGTTATCTCGCAAGTTCTGTTATTGTGATGCAAACTTTTTGTGTTGCCTTGCCGACATTATTATTGTGAGTTTTAAACAGATCTTCATATTAGTGATCCAACCGAAAACTTGTAAGGTCTGGAGACCTATGAGTTTTAAACTTTTAGCATTTTGAATAGCTATGCTCAAAGTTAATAGTTCCAGAAGATTTACTAATATGTCACATTTTAGATTGTTTTAAGAAAAATTTAACAAAATGCTCCGAGATCAGAGAAAGCTACTTATTTAGATATACACTTTGCTTTACTTCAATGATATTTTTATATTCACAGATTATCCAATTTTAATTGTGGAAAATTTCTTAGATTCGCCGGACTTTCCCTTCTTTGGTTAGTCTTAATTCTTTTTTGAACTTGTTTAGTCTAGTGTATATAAATATGTTGTACACAGTAGCGGTTTCACTTTCTTTTTGGTGATCACTTTAATATTTTGAGTGTAACTTTAGTGTATGGAGGGTTTATATTGGCTATATCGAATTTAAACAGAATTGAATTTTGCACATATAAGATATACAGGCAGCAACATAACTAGTAATATCTAACCAATCCTCAAGAGTAACTATTCGTGTTGTTTATACCCCCATGCTTACCGTGTGCACTTAATTTTTTTTGTTTGTAAAGTCTAAGACGAATATTTAATTTTTTTTCCAATGATCATGTTCAATCACATTTTTACTGGCCTACTTATTTAGCCTTGTCGAGTGGCTCATCCATTCAGTTTCTCATTGAGCAGCCCAGCCAAGTACAGGAAAAGTGGCTACTGAATCGTAGCCACAGTGGGCAGCTGTTATGCACTTTGTTCACAATCTACTTAACTCAATTCAACGAAATGCAAAAGGTGTCAATTTTTAGGACATTAGACTAGTGTTGAGCTTACTTATCTATTGCTTTCACCTAGTGAGAATTATACAAGGTTTGCTCTAGTGATAATTGTCTTCTGTTTACGAATTGTGAGGACAATCCTTGAACTGACAGTCATTTATGATGGAACTGGAAAGGATTGTGATTTTCCCCTTTAACACTCATTTTATGTCTTTTCCTTTTATGATTGCTTGAATTGTCAATTAGCGTTGGAAGGTAATGACTTTGTTCATCTTTTTTTTGTAGGTGGAGAAATGATGAAAAGAAAATCAAAAGCGATGAAGTTCTAGACTTTACTTAAGAAGGTTTTTAAATTATTGCTGAAACTTTAGATGTTCTAGGAATCTTTTGTTAGCAAACATTTTGAAACTTTTGTAAAATTTATGCAGCTTGGGTTAGAGGCGCATTTTGCTTTTATGGATATTACTGTATAGCTTGTTGGACAATTAATTTGGAGTGTGAATGTTAATGAATAGTTTCATTCTGAGAATTATATAAATTTTAGTGTATATTGTTTCAATTAAGCTGTTACATTTGCCTATCAGAACCGTTGCAATAGGCCACAAGATGTGTTTCAGTATATAATGTAAATTGTTGCAATAGGTCATGAAAACCGTTCCGGTAGGATCTTTAAACCGACGCAATAGGTCATGAAAACCATTCCGATAGTTTTTGCTCGATTGTAAGAAACTGTAGCAATCGGGAAAAACCGTCACTATAGCATAAGAAAACCGTTGTAGTTCCGTTAAATAGACGTTGCCATAGCTTACATAACCGTTACATTAAATCAAATGGTAACGATTTTGACCGTTACAGTAGAATACATATACTCGTTGCATAAGAAAGAGGAATAACCGTTGCGATAGATGGTACTATAGCAACGGTTATAGCAACCGTTGCTTACGAGCTATTGGCACGCGACCAGATGGAACGGTCACCAAACCGTTGCAATATGGCTATTGTAACGGTTTATGTGGCTGTTGCAACGGTTTTTCCTGCGTTGCCATAGGCTGATTTTCTAGTAGTGGCAGTGTTGGCCCAGACCATCTTCAGCTATAGAGATCCGGAGCTTCCTAGGTTTGGCGGGATATTACCGTCAATTTGTTGAGGGGTTCTCGTCTATTGCAGTGCCTATGACCAGGTTGACCCAGAAGGGCGCTCCGCTTAAATGGACAAATGAGTGTGAGGAGAGCTTTCAAAAGCTCAAGACAGCTTTGACTACAGCCCCAGTATTGGTATTGCCTTCATGTTTGGGGTCTTATACAGTTTATTGTGATGCATTGCGAGTTGGCCTCAGCGCGGTGTTGATGCAGGACCGTAGGGTGATTACCTACGCGTCCAGACACTTGAAGGTGCATGAAAATAACTATCATGTCCACGACTTTGAGTTTGCTGCTATTGTTCATGCCTTGAAGATTTGGAGGCACTATTTGTATGGTGTCCCTTATGAGATCTACACTGATTACCGGAGTTTGCAGCATATGTTCAAGCAGAAGGATCTTAATTTGCATCAGAGGAGGTGGTTAGAGATGCTTAAGGATAATGATATCACCATTTTGTACCACTCGTGGAAGGCTAATATGATGGCCGATGCTTTGAGTTGCCGGGCAGAGAGTTTGGGGAGTTTAGCTTATCTACCAGTAGCAGAGAGGCCCATGCCGTTGGATGTTCAAGCCTTAGCCAGCCAGTTTATGAGATTGGATATTTCTGAGACTAGTTGAGTATTGGCTTGTGTGGTCTCTCGGTCGTCTCTTTATGATCGTATCAGGGAGCGTCGGTATGTATGACCCCCATCTGCTTGTCCTTAGGGACACGGTCCAGCACGGTGATGCCAAGGAGGTCACTATTGGGGATGATGGTGCATTGAGGATGCAGGGCAGGCTATGTGTGCCTAATGTAGATTGTTTGCGTGAGCTGATTCTTTATGAGGATCATAGCTCGCGGTACTCTATTCATTCGGGTGCCGCAAAGATGTATCAGGACTTGAGGCAACATTATTGGTGGCGTAGAATGAAGAAGGACATAGTGAAGTATGCTGCTCGGTGTCTAAATTGCTAGTAGGTGAAGTATGAGCATCAGCGACCAGGTGGTTTGCTTCAAAAGTTAGAGATTTCGGAGTGGAACTGGGAGCGGAACAATGTGGATTTCGTTGTTGGACTCCCACGGACTTAGCGGAAGTTTGATGCAGTTTGGGTGATTGTGGATGGCTGACCAAGTGAGCTCATTCCCTTCTGGTGATGACTACCTATTCTTCCGAGCAGCTGACTTGAGTTTATATCTGTGAGATTGTCAGACAGGGGCACGTAGTTTACATCACGATTCTGGAGAGTCGTACAATAGGAATTGGGTACTTGGGTGGAGTTGAGCACAATATTTCACCCTCAGACGGAAGGGCAGTCCGAGCGCACTATTTAGATTATTGAGGATATGCTCCATGTGAAAGTACAAGAGGGGGATGAATTGTATATTTTTAAACTTAATATCTGTTAGTTGACTGGTTTTCCAATTAGTCGACTAGATGCAATAAACTAACAGTTGTAATAGCAGAATATAAGATGCATAAAGTAAATGCACGAATTAAAGACACCGGAATTTTTATACTGGTTCAGATTCAATGTGAATCCTAGTCCAGTCCCCTTGGGTTGCAAGGGAGTTCTCTTTAGTAAATGCGTTTCTTCGTGTACAATAGAAATGTCGTGATAGCTCAGTTCCTATATCACTCGTCTCTTTTGATATAATGCCTCACCAGTGTTGTTCTCTCTTTCTTCTCTAACTTGTTACACAACAGGTCTTAGAGAGCTACAATGTTTGTTTGCAGTAGAACAAAGAGAGTGTGTTTGGTTCGATCAAAGTATGTTTGTCTAAGGCTTGATGCTGAGTATAAATACTTTGGTGAAGGTCGTTTGCTGAAGAGATTTGACAACCCAAGAGATTTGATCCTTGGAAAGAGATGGATTCTTTCCAAGAATAAGGTTACTTGTCGTTGCTCTTCCTTGATGAGAGTGCATTGATGTCTTTCCTTCTACAGGTCTTGATGATGCGGGTTTAATCCTTGATTGTTGGTCCTTCCGAAAATAGCAGTTCGATTAATCATCTTACAGAATCTTCGATGCTTCTTATCTGCTTCAATCTTCCGGATTGAATGTGATGGACTTGATTGATGCCTTAAGTTTAGGCTTGCTTGATTCTTTCCATCGTAGATGTCCATTGATTTCGTGATCTTTGCTGAATGATTTCTTTCCTTAAGCTTCCTGGTTGATTTCTTCAATCTCGTAGTAACTCCTTGATTCCTTGATCTTCTATAATTGATTCCTTCCATCTTTGAATGGTTATCCATGATTTCCTGCACATATATATTATTTGCATCATTAAAATCAGATCTAACAATCTCCCCCTTTTTGATGATGACAAAATAATATATATGTATAAACAACAGTTGACTTCCCTGAGTTTTACTCCCCCTCAATGTATGCGGTTGACAGGTTTATGGTACTCCCCCTCAGTTCATGCAGTTGACTAATCCATGGTTCTAGATGTTGTAGTCGGCTCCTGCCATAGAGGATGCTAGCGTACATTTGCCCTTCAGTCGACTATACCTGTATACAGATACATATACTCTTCTCCCCCTTTTTGGAATCAGCAAAGAGGGAATAGACAGAATAAACCACGAACTAAAATAGAATATATAGCATTATGCAGCAGAGTTATAGTCCAAAAAGAAACAACCAAAACAAAACAAAAACATAAATTGTCCAATGGCTGAGTTAATAGCCCAAAAATAGCATAGCAAAAAAATTGTCTTAAGCAACCATATTAGCGACACAGAAAATAGGTAAGAGAGTTGCAGATGACCTCCTTTAGTTGTTCAAAGCTAGCATTGGCTGAGATGCCCACGCTATCCAACCTGTAACATCCCGTATATTCGGATTAGGTATGAATGAGTTAAAGGAGTAGTAAGGTTATATTTTGGACATATGAAGTCCTACGGGATGATTATGAGTGAAAATAGTTGTTTCAAAACCAAGATGGGAAGTGAGATGCATAAGATTTGACAGAAACGACTAAGTTTGCAGAAGGTCTGTCTTCTAGTAGGGTTTACTACAAAAGTAAAAGGAATTTGGGAAAACTCAAAGCACGAAAGTTGTAGGCCATTGAAATAGCATTCCAACGATATATTGTGAAGCCCAAACGGAGCTCTGTGCAAAAAGGTATGCCCGTTTTACAGAAAGGTGTGTAACCACCACGTTCCTGCCGCGTTTTTATCGCGACCGCAGTTGTGAGGCAGTGTCCCAGCGATTTAACGCTGTTGGGACCGCGGTCGCGCTTACTGGGATGCGGTGGACGACTTGGGAAGTCATTTTTTTAGCCTTATTTCGTCCCCCACAGCCCCAAAACATAAAAACTTGCTCTAGAAAGGAAAACTCTCAAAAACCGAACTCCTTAAGGGTCCTTCCACCATCTAAGGTAAGTTCTAATGGTGATTCTAAGTTAATTTCAATTTCCCAATATCTTATTAACATGGGTAAACCCTCCATATCATTAGATATTCGATTAGGACACCATTGACGAGAGAAGAAACCCTAGAACTCGAATTCAAGGAGATTGAACTTCAAAAAGGTATTGTCTTCACCCTCTAATTGATTCTAGCATTGGTTTAATGATTATAGATCCTAGTTCATGAGATTTGAGTTGATGGGTTTGATAGAAAAGTATGAAAGGTTATAGGTTTAGTGTGTTGATTGTTGATTATTGGTTAAGGGTACTGTTTACCTTATGGGTGATAAAGAATAATGTTGATTATAACCATTTGAGACTTTAGAATTTATTTAGGAGCAAGAGAATGGGTTACTGGGTATAGAAACAGCATTAATAAGGACTATGAAGCTTTATGCCACCAAGTGTTTGAGAAGATGCCTAAGTAACCAAAACATGAGTATTTTTGCTAATATGGAATCCCTTTGACTTGTATTGATAGATTAAAGTTGAAAGGGTTGGAGAATGTTGTATTACGCTCAAGAGCAGGAAGTTAAGGTATGTGAGGCTAACTCTCTGTGTTTGGGAATTTTAATGATTCTCCCTACACTACGTTTCTTTTACGACGTTACCAATTGCCTCAGAAATATAGTTAAGCCTAGTTCCTTGAATAGTTGTAGAACTTCTATTCTCTAGCTTCATAACTCGTTCACCACTTTCATTCTGAACGTTGTGAGCTCAGTGCATATTCAATATAGACTTGGGTTTGATGCCCCCGAGTCTTAATATAGATTACTCAGTATGCCATAAACAGTTGAAGTTTCAATGTTCATAATCAGTTCAAGAATACATGTCTCAGTCTAGTCCTATTCAGTATTCCAGTATTGTGTAACTCAGTGTGATCCAGTATTCCAGTATCATGTAACTCAGTGTGATTCAGTATTTTACTATCATGTATTGCAGTTTGATTCTCAGTTCCTGAATGTTGAACACCTGTATTTGGGCCTGAGGCCATAGTTTATATGCTTTATGCATA